ATTGAAAGGGATAAATTGACCGTGGTGGTTCAACAGCGAATTGGTGGTGCGTTTTGTTCTATTGCCGTTTTGGTGCCGATTTGCTGCAGCTGTGAAATCAGCTGGATTTGAGGGTTTTCGTTTTTTTGTCCTCCACCCAGAGTGCTCCACGTTTTCCAAAACTGCTCAAAATCAAGAAATCCCGGTATTTTTCCTGCGTTTGGCCACACGGAATCGTGTGTAAGTATTTTACAATTTCATTAAATTCAAATTTCGAATAGTATTCTCAAGGATTAAGGGGAATTTTGTTGCATTAGTTATTAATGAATTCATGAGTTCCATCATACTATGCTCCATCAATTCCAAATTTTAATTGATTGACGCATTGTATTTATGGATGGATCAGGGAGCCTTTTATGCACATTCTAACTCTGAGTTCATCCTTGTCAGGTGACTCCGGAGAGAGAAAAAAAAAACTTGAAGAGGGGGGATTTAATTAATGAGTGGGTCTAATTTTCTCTATAATGATTATTAAAATACCTTAAAATACCTTGGGGATATTTATTCGATTAAATAATACTGTTGTGTACCGAATAGTATCATAAAACTCGGTGTTTTGTTCAATATTAGGGTCTACGGTTGGGGTTGCGTCCTAGGGATCCTCATTGCAATTGTGTCTAAGCAATACTTTGGGAGACTGCTTATTAGCTTGGAGCTGATTTTCTTCGATAGAGGCTTTCCTGCCCCAGGACATCTGAACCTGTTGGCAAACCCAGGTTTCCAAGTAACCATTATTGCATTGTTTTGTTCTGATGACTCCTGTGATTTAATAGTATTGCGGATTTCACAATACGCATAAACATTATTGTATTACCTTACAATTATTAAAATATTGGTGCCTTTTTCATGGTTCATCAATACGTTTTGGTACCCACCTAGTATAAACTAAACTACTTATTTTGTTTCTACTTTATTATTGATGAACAGACTGAAGAGTAATTTCAATTAATTATTCATTATCTCATTATTATCACCTCAGTTATGTTTATTTTACATATGATTTTTTATTTGATTAGCATTTGGCACGTTCAATTGTATTAAAGGTATTTATACCTAAATCTCATTGCTTCTAACTGGCGCAACCACTGCAGGACCGTACCTGAGCATTTTTTTTTTTGGTGGAAGACCGATAACCATTAATTAGTCCACAGATTCATTAATTTATTAATTAGCTTTTAGGATCTCGTATTGCTCAGGGCCGGAGTGCATTATTTTTTTTTTTGTGTCATGAGCGCTGTAACATTTGTTTGATATTATATATATTATAGGTTTTGTGATTAATTGTACACCGACCGTGATCACGTAAGGTATTTTGAGTTACACCCTTGACAACGCCAAATTAAAGGTAATCAATATCAAATAATAGATTAATTGATAGTATTTTCTCCGTCTATCAGTATATACGCTGAAGTAATATAAATTTTCTGGTGTTGCGAAACTAACCAAAAATATGCGAACTAACTCAAACTAACCCGTCCACGTGATGCGTATTAGTCCTTGTATGTTATTATTGAGTTCAAAAAACAAAGCTTTGTGGTCAACCAGTACACTTATAACCATTTGTAATATTCCGAGAAAATAGACCCATAAATCACAATGTCTTTACTGTAAAAATTTAATAAATGTCAAATAATCAAAAACAGAATTTCCGGTATCTCCAAATCAGTATCCATTAATTGAAAAGGGAACAAATTAACGTTTAATATTATATTAGGTGTTTCGTCATCAAACCCAGTGTAATCACCCAAATCAATGAACTTATAAGAGCGAGGCCATGTAATCATAAATGATTTATGGCATTCTTGAACCGACAAAATATATTGGCCTCGATAAATTAGGATATTGCAACATAATTATTCGATTTTTTAACTAAGAATGATAAAAGTTTCAAGGAAATTGCATCATTATTTTTAAAAATGATTAGGTCGGCCAATGGAATTGTCGGATTGCTAGGCAAACGACCGCCTGTTGACGATTTGGGGGATAATTAATAATACTTTGCGGGGGGATCGATTTAATATAAATACCGCGGTTTTAGAAGTAGTTGTTAGTTGCCAGTTATCAGTTGAGTTGTCAGTTGAGAGATGAGTCCTGTCCAGTCTGAGTAAAATTCGCGAAGCTGCCTCGGAAAACGCGTTCGATTTAACTTAGAAAAAGTACGGAAAATTGGGAAAGTAATAACATTTGAAATTCGTTCAATAATTATGTGCGGGCTCTAAGTAATCAAAAGAATTAAATTAGATTAGTTTTGTGTTTTATGGACAAAATGTAAGTACTCTATAGTGATAAGATTTATTTTGAATATAAATGATGAACATGACTTTGTGTGATTAAACTTTGAATTTTAATGCCTAAAACTTGAGTGATTTTCACTAGTAAAACTTTCTGACTTTTATTAATGATTCTGAATGATAAGAAGTGAATTAACAAATTACTTTTGATGCATAAAAAAACAAACTTGAGTGATTTTTACTAGAAATACTTTTAACTTTATAAACTTGAGTGATTGTTATTAGAAAAACTTTTGACTTTTAATTAACTGTGGAACTTTAGTGCATAAATATTAATAACTCGAGTGTTTTATAAATGGAACATTATTGCATAACTTTAATTGCCTTCAGATATAATGACATTCTAATTTAATTTTGCACCAACAATATGAAAGGAATTCATAATGCATTTAACATAACATAAATAGTTTCGATTTGAGTAGGGATTATTAAAGAAGTTTGAACAGGATTGTCCAATTGAAGATTAAGGGCTATAGTAACGAACTATAAGAATTTAAATAATTTTGTATGTTAGCCAGGATGGCGAAAAATAGTAATTGTTCTAATTAAATGGAATAGGAAATTTTGAAAAGAATCTTGATATTCATGAAATAGAATTGTCTTAAAATATTGGAAAGTTGTTAAAGGAAACTTATAATAGAATTTTTTCTGATTAAATAAACTATTAGATGGAATAGAAAATTTTGAAAGGAAACTTGATGTTCATGAAATGAATTTTGAATTAGGGTTTTATTTTTCAAGTAGAATTTATTGTAAGGTTTTATAAGAATAAGTTAGTAATACCTATATTGATAGACAAATAGGTAGGTAATTATTTTGGGTTTTTCATAAGAAGGTCCAGTAAAGGACTTAAAAATTTTAAAGAATTTATATAAGTAGGTGAAGGGTAGTTTATTAGGAATCAATCGGAAGTAGTGAAATGAGTTAACTTATAAGTTATGAGGAATAGTAGGAATAGGGCGTTTCTTAATGAGTAGAGATATTTCAGTGGTCCGTAATAATAACAATCTAGAACGGATGTGAAGTAATTGATTTTATAGAAATAAATAAGGCTGTCAGAATTGGTTGATATTTGGCTGATTTTTGGTTTTATGTATGATAAAATATAATTTAGTACACCTCAATAGTTTGTTTCTCTCTCTTGCAAATAGACCCTTCCACAGATTTTAGGTAGCAGCTCCAAGTAAATAAAAACCATCAATATACCGCTCGCCATTTACCATCTAACTAATTACATAGAGTACTTGGGGCGTTTTGCCACAGTTTTGTGCAAACTCCCGTCCACGTAATGCGTGCTATTTCTTAGTAAGTACAATATTTATAAAAACCCGCTGACGAATTGATAAAAAAATAATGAGCATTAGGATTAGGTAGGTATATATTGTATATGTTTTTTCCGTAACTAAAACGCGCTAAAACCTTATTATATTGTAGGAAACTAAATATTCCGCACTTTTTTCCAATAGGTTCAAGTGATATCTAAATGAAATTACTGCGAAAAAATTCCATAGAAGTTGGGACCTATAAGTAATCAGAACCCCTCGCAGTTCACCAGGATGTGTCTGGCTGTCTTTGGTTCCTTGGATTTTCCATTAAATCGAAAACACTGGACGTTACCAAAACGGAGATGACAAGACATGTCGAAACTGCTCTTGACTGGTACAACTCCAATCTACTAAATACCAACCATCAAAGTCAAATAGAAAACATGTCTTCACTCTCAAAAAAACTACAATCCAAGATAATCCAGGAAAACTCAAATTTTTAGGAGTCGCAATGGACGGGAAGCATGTCAACATTATGCCAAAAAAACTATGCTCTGCAATCTATGTTCTTCGTAATATATCGAAAATTGTAGATAGAGAAACATCAAAAATTGCATACTATTCCATCCAGTGAGAGTCTATGGACTCCTGGCATGGGGACACTTATGTCATGTCTCTCGTGCAGAGAAGAGCAGTTAGAATTGTAGCCGGCATCAAATACCGAGATGACGTCAAACCATCCTAAAAAAATAGACTCTTCCAGCACAATATATCTTAGAGTCTCTACTATATTCTCATAACAATTCTTCAAACTACACTTGTGCCGAAGAAGCCCATAATTACAACACTCGCCAACGTTATAACGTGCAGAATGACTTTTCATGCTTAAAGCTCTCCTGGAGTACAACGCAATATTATGCATCGTCTTTTTTCAACAAATTGCCCCTCACAATACGAAATATTCCAATAAAACCATTTAAAAGTAAAATCAAGCAATTCGTGTTAAGTAAATGCTTTTATTCAATAAAAGAATGTTTGCAATATCAAGATTTGGATTTTTAACTAGTTCTGAATACTCTTATCTCATACCCAGTATTGTCCTTTTGTAAAAAATGTTTGAAACATTTTATACAGATGTGATATACCCATTAAGTGATATAGTACAAGTTCCTCTTAGAATTAATTTTAACATTAACCTAAATTTAGCATCTCTGAGATTAAGATTTTGATAAGTCTCAAGTATAAGTATAAAACCTATACCAGGTTGTATATTAATTTTTGATCATTCGCCTATGTCATTTAATTTATCTTTCGCAACAATTATTGAAGTAAATACACTATCAATTTGATGAAGAAAAAAGTATTTATTTAGGGCATTATATTAGAATAATATATTTAGATACTATTAGAACTTGCTAAAATCGGGTAGTCCAGCATCAACTCCATATTCAATTCCTGCTTCATTTTCACCTCTAAGGATTTTGAAATATCCTGCTTCACCCCAACGTTCGTTCCAGGAATTGGCCATCAGCCAGTATTTGACTCCATTTTCTACACCCCAGCCTAGCATTTTAATTGCGTGACCTCCTAGGTAGTCAGCGCTGTAAACTTGGTAGACACCTGACAAAATTATTTATCGTTCACAAGAGACTAAAATTTGAAATTCAGTAGGTAAACTCACCACTTTTGTAATTAAGGAAGTCCTCGTAAACATCCATACTTGCTTCAACAGGTCCGTTTTTCATAATTTCAAGTTGAATTTGTTTTTCTCCGGTTACTTCATAATTTTCTAATCCGTACGTTTTTTGATCTTTGTAGGTCAAAGAAGAATCGTCGCACTGTTTTTCGCATTCTGGAGTATCAACGTAGTCGGTGCATTTGGTTGGATGATCATCACAGGTTGGCAGAAAGTATGATTTACAACCCTAACAATGATTGTTTTTTAGTAATGTTATCGTTGGGAGTATTGTACTCACTTGATCAGTTCGGTTGTAAAGTCCTCCAGAGACAATCCCTTGCTCGTACCAGGATTCCCAAGCATAGGAAGGATAACCACCATCGCAACCTCCAGCCGAACCACAAGTCAGCAAATCTTGGGCGGAAACTAGAGTTTTTTTCTCGCCGTTTGAGTGGATACAAATTCTATCCGACATGGATTCTGCAGCCCCAAAGGCCTGGAACCAGTATCTATTAGTTCTGCTTTTGAAGTTACAACATTGAGAAAAATGAAAAAGCATAGAAAATTATATGAGAAGTCATAGAGTCACATATTATTCTAGAAATTGCATGTTTTTTCCTGGTATACTCTACTTCTTCATACCTGTTCAAATAGAAAAATAATGCAAGATAATGCAGATAATTTAAATCAAGGCCCAAAGTAGATTCAAAACAATGTACGCTAAGTAATCAATACATTACATATTAGTATGAAATACGATTTTATTAAAGTTTACATTACCCAGCATGACCCACATCTAGACTGATCTCTGATCATACCAATAACATCAGCGCATTTAGGCCAAGCTTCACGAGCATCGAAGGATTCTGGAATGTCTTCATTTTCGTCATGGACTACTTTTTTGACTTGTTTCAATAGTCCATTGGGTTTTTTGACACCTGATGCCAGGACTTTTACGTAGGGATATTCATCCACTTCGAAGTTCCTTCCTGCTCTCCATGAGGACTGTTTGCTGTTAATTTCTGCTATGTACTCATCTGAGAGAGGATGAAGACCGATTTTGAAGGCTGAGGCTAGCCCGATGGCTACAAACAAGACAAACAAAGATTTCATTTTGCTGACTACAGTTATTGGATCAAAGTGTAATGATTTATATAGAATGTGTTATCATTTCAAGTGGGTACTTATGAAGTTTAAAAGAAAATTATCGTTTCAATAAAAATAGACGAGAAGTTGTTTCGTCAGCGATTTGAGAGTAACTAAGCCAAATTGATAACAATCTTTGCGTTCGACAGCTTGCGATAAATGGAAAGAAAAAGAAATGTATGCTCAGAGCACTGATGAAAATGTCATTTTAAAAGATTTTCAGCCAGGTACCTGAGCAAATCCATCGGGTATAAGCCCAAGCTTGATCTTCATGGTCAAACCAAATCAACACTACAATGGAAGGTAGGAAGCCTGTAGTGCAGAGCAGAGTCTGGGTTGTCACATGGAATCTGCTCGGATACAGATCGATACGCAATCTCTATTCGTCCAGATAGCTCCCGACTTTGAGGCGTGTCTAGGCACCTACTGATACAGAAAAGCAGCCCTGAGACACGGCTGATTTGCCATAGTGTGTTTTATATCAAATATTTGCTATCTCTCTCAAATCAAATATTTGCTATCTAACTATAATTAGGTTAATTAGTCTGGTGGTGTTTTCTTCCTTAGGGCCGGTATTTCAATGTCACTTTAAGGTACAGAATAACGTTAAGCCATCTTTAATACAAGTTTCACCATATATCAAAGTTTCCTTAATTCAAGGTGAATCTTAAGCCACCTCAAGTTCACCTTAACGTTAAGGGTAGGTACCTTAGGTAAGTCTTGATTTTAAGGTAATATTGAAATACCAGCCCTTCTCTACAAAGAGGATGCTGTTGCCATAGTTTGGAATCAATCTCAATAATTAGGTTTGGTTCAAAAAGGCTATAACAGCAGCAAAAAAAAAAATACCAAAATGAAGAAAAACAAATATTTATTTAAAAATTTTTAAAAAGTATACTTATACCAATTATTATTAAAATTTGCTGAAATCAGGTAAGCCTGCATTGATGAAATATTCAATACCCGCTTCGTTTTTTCCTCTGAGAATTCTGAAGTATCCAGCTTCTCCCCAACGTTCGTTCCAGGAATTGGCAACCAGCCAGTATTTGACTCCATTTTCAACACCCCAGCCTAGAATCTTGATAGCGTGTTCTCCTAGAGATTCTTGCGAAACAACCTGATAGATTCCTAAGAGAAATTATTTAGGTATTATTACCATGATAGTTTGAAATTGAGGTTTAAAATGCTTACCACTTTTATAACTAGAGAAGTCTGTGAAAATTTCCATTGTTCCTTCGACAGGCCCGTTTTTCAAAATTTCAAGTTGCATCTGTTTTTCTCCATATATTTCATAAGGTTCTAATCCGTAGGTTTTTTCCTTTGCGTAGGTCAAAGTAGCATCGTCGCACTGTTCCACGCAGTCTGGAGTTTTAACGAAGTCAATGCACTTGTTTGGATGGTCATCGCATTCTGGCAAAGAGTACGCTTTACATCCCTGAAAATAATAATTGTTAGGGACCTATTGCGCAATTATTAATTTAAAAAAATCTAGTTCTTACTTGATCAGTTCTGTTGAACAGTCCCCCAGTGACAATTCCTGTTTGGTACCAGAAGTCCCAGGCTGCGCTAGGATAACCACCATCGCAGTTTCCAATTCTAAATCCTGCACAAGTGGTCAAGTCTTGGGCAGAAACTAAAGTTTTTCTTTGACCTTTGGATTGGATGCAGATTCTGTCTGACATGGATTCTACAGCAGCAAAAGCCTGGAACAATATTTAATATTTTGTGTCAAATATTCTATTAGAATTATCCAGAATGTATTATAATAACCATCTGTCTTTGTATAAAGTAACCCTTCTTAATATTTATCAGTCTAGTAGAGTAGATATTTTAGTGAACTGGTTGGAATGTCGATAGCCCAAATATATCAATGATACCATTAAAACTAACTACTGTCTGATTGAAACAGTCAATTTAAAATTCTGGATTTTGAGTTTAAAATCAATTCTACAGTGGAACTCAATAGATAAATAAATAAGAGTCTATTAGAAAATCCATTGTTCCGCTATTACTTAGTGAATCAATAAATTGAATGTCTGTACCTAGCATATTTGTATATAGCAAATTTTGTTTGGTGCTGATAAATTTAAAAAAAAAAAGAAAATCTGCTCAGTAGTCAATATCTTAAAAATTTCAATTAAAATTCTATTTTACCCAGCATGATCCACATTTAGACTGATCCCTGATCAAGCCAATAACGTCAGCGCACTCAGGCCAAGCTTCACGAGCATCGAAAGATTCCGGAATATCTTGATTTTCATCATGAACTACTTTTTTGACTTGCTTCAATGCTCCCTGGGATTTTTTCACACCTGAACTAATGACTTTTACGTAAGGGTAATCTTCTACTTTGAAGTTTCTTCCTGCTGTCCATGTAGATTGTTTGCTGTTAATTTCTGCTATGAATTCATCTGAGAGAGGATGAAGACCAATTTTGAAGGCTGAGGCTAACCCGATGGCTACGAATAAGACACACAAAGATTTCATTTTGCTGACTATAGTAATTGCATTAAAATTTTGAGATTTTATAGACAAATTCCTATCATTCTAAGTGATTATAGCGTGGATAGGAATATTTTAGCAAATCAGAAAACTCAAGTCATCGTGTATAAGAGGGCACACGAGTTACATTTTATAGGTACTTGAACGGTAATTTGATAAAGTTTTGAAATTAAATGCAAATGCTAACTATTTTTCTCTTTAAAAACTTGCAATTAATAAAAAGCAATGTGAACTCAGTATATTTAGGACTGATACAGATTTCCAGATTCCCAATATGATTCACTTTGTATACAGGGTGTCCCACGACGTTTTTCCCAGGTAATAACTTCGAAACGCGTCATCCAATATAATTGAAACTTCGAGGATCTGGGTAACTTTTTCTGCTGCTTCTACTACTGTCATCCAATTTCACCACTCCCGCTTCAATTTTGGTCGGGTGACGTCAACTTTCGAATCTTAAATGTAACTCATGGTATATTATGGCATTTTTGGTTAGGAAATTAAATTACAAAATCGGCAATGCCATATTTGTTAAGGCTTTGTCAAAGAAAATGACGGAAAATTATACAGTGGAACATACGATAATGCGTTCCGAAGTTATCATTTGGGAAAAACCTCGTGGGACACCCTGTATACCAAGAATATCGGCTCACCCAAGCCAAACTTTCATGGGTATCAAAAGAATCTGGAATGTCATCATGAACCTAGACTTTTTTCATGATAACGATTTCTGAAAGCTGACAACTAAAATTGAGAAACTTACACTGACTACTACAGTTATTGTGTTAGAATGAAAGTCATAATATAGAAATTGTAGTCATCATAAGTGGTTATACTAATGAATTTTCAGACATATCAAAAATAGTCCTACGAATCTAAATGCCACAATGGCTGCTTCATTTTTGAATGGTCCTGTATTGTGATTTTAAAATATCAGATCATATGTTTCTATGTTTTGGAAAATCTCTGCTCTGATGTTGTAATTGGACATGATATTCTCCAAAATCACTAAAATCAGTCACGGATAGAACTCAGTTTTGGTGGGAAAATATTCGACTTTATCCGGTGTTTGCATTTAACAGAAAATTGCCAGCCTATTGCTAATAAATCTAGACAGTTTTCTAATGAAGACTACAGATTTATAGAAACAGAAATACAAAAATTATTGGAAGAAAACATCATTGAACCAAGTAATTCACCTTGGAGAGTACAAGCAATTCAAATTTAAAAAAAAAAAAAAACTTATGGTTATCGATTAGTCATTGTCAATCAACAATAAATGCATATCCACCACATTATATTGATAGTATTATCAGTAAAGTTACGCAATATGAATATTATAATTCTATACGTATACGTAGTACCTATTTTGGAAAGTGAACAAATTTACACTGGCTTTGAAGCATGTAACAACTCGTATCAATTCACAAGAATTTCAAATGGAGTAGCATGTTTTCAACGTATACCTATCGCAAAGAAACTATCAGACATAAAACTTATCGGACCAGAGCCAGCTTTAAGGATATCAAAAAGTGAAGAACATCGACAACTTCCAGGCAAAACCATGCAGAAAAACTAGAAAAAAGGCCGCAAAACTGCTACAAATGAGAAGGAACCACTAAGTACTATAACGGGCCTTATAGGCCATACACCAGATTGCCGTTTGTATTTCCATGTTCGGATATGTCATCTGCAACAGTAATAAACTGTTTGACTCAACTATCCTCAATTTTTGGCACACCAGAGAAAAAGGAGCATCTTTTCTATCTGTTGATATGGAATCATTTTCAACAAGTCATGGTGTTGCCACAAGTCGTACAACTGGATACCATCCACAGAGAAATTGACAATGTGAAAGATTTAATGGAACAATTTGGAAAACGTGAGATCAAATCTAGAAACCTCGTTGTAAAATAATGACAAGATGTATTAAATCGATTCTCTACATACAATAAGATTTCTTTTGTGTACTGCAACTGATTCTACACTTAATGAACCATCCTAGAAGATCGACTAATGGTACCTCAATGCCTACATTGTTGAGCATCCCAGGACCAGTTCTTCTCAAGAAACATGTTAGACATAGCAAATATGGCCCATTAATAGAAGAAGTGGATCTTCAGATTATGTTCATGTACGACTATCAAATGAAGAGAAATTACTGTGTCATTAAACATTAAGGGGAGATATAACACTAGCCAGCTCTGCCAGAACAATCAGTTCAGAACGTTTATCATCTGATTCTAGTCGTTCCTTTCCCCAAAATTCAGAACAATCTCACTGTGAAAATCCTTTGACTTTACCTACAGTGTGTTTTAGTTAGGAGAAATCACACCTTCATATTTTCTAGATTATGTCAAAAACTGAGCGAGGAAGAATATTATATGTTTCATGACTTTATTTATTGTGTTTCCTATTTATTTACCTGTTTATGTTAAGGATCGAGTTTCAAGGTTAGTATCTACGTTATGGAGCTTTATTACTCAATAACCATAAGTCTTTGGCTATACCGTGGGCTGCAACCTATTGCAACAATTAAGAGGAGCTGTCTCAAAAAAAAAAAAAACACTTATCAATTTAATTGAAAAATATAAAATATATTTATGTAGGGCATTACATAAAAATAATATGTATATCTTCTATTAAAACCTGCTAAAATCGGGTAGTCCAGAGTCCAGCATCTTTACCTAGAATTACGACTATAAATTGAAAATGTTAAAAATTCAGACTTTTCAAACAGATAGATAATAGACCTGGACAAAATATCCGATTTGCATAATAGACTCAAGTCGTTATGCAAACGGTATTTATCTCTCTATTAACCGAAGGAATTTATGCCACGCCACAAACAAAAAGTTCTAAAATGCTGATTGTTGTTACGAGCTTACGATGTTTTATTTGGGTTGCAAGACGCATTTAGGTATATACGAAGCAAATTTCGGATCAATATTCAGCATTTTAGGATCTTATAATAATAATTGTTACGCTGGAGGCACTTATTGCATAGTGTATTAGAATACCTTTATACTTTGTAGAAAGTAATAAAATGTATTGCTTATAGGAATTATTATTAAGAAAAATAACGGGGATTTGAAGACAAGTCGCATGTCACTGTAGCAGGAAGAATTTTGTATATGCATGAATGCTCCGGGAAGTATATATTATTAATAGCACGCATAAAGTTTAACACACAAAAATTCAATTGTATAGCTACAAAATTAACATATCAAAGAAAACTTTCGCTGGAAGAAAAGCATTAGTACCTAATGATTGTTTCGGCCTCCTGGCAAAGTTACAGTGCTCAGACCATCAATCCAACAACCTTGGATGGAGATAAAAGTATAAAAGAATGGATAACTCATCCCTATATCATCAAAGTTACAATGGTCAACAATGATGCTGTATCAACATTTTCAAAGAACCAAAATTCAAGATTAATCTTGTAGGAAATTTTGGAGGAAGATACTTATTATAGGGAACTGATGGCAAGATGTGACGAAAACCACGCATTATCATAAAACATTATTCTCTTTTCTCTAATGAGGTGGTCAATAGACATAACTATCGATGATCGACGATGACCCACTTTTACCTGGTAGAAATTGGTCACAATGGCGACGGTTATGTCTACTATAATGCGATAATTTTTGCATTCATTCGTGAATATTTGAAACTTATGTTTGTGATAGGGAACAATTTTAACGAGACAGAAAAACCCGTCCATCTCTGCGTGGGACACCCTCTATAATGTCCGTCTGTGTCCCTGCGCAATAATAATATGTCAATTAGGACTACAAACTGGCCAACGTAGATCGGGAATTAATTTAATAATTTATGACATGTCTTGCAAGGCAATATTTATGCTTATTTATGGCTATTCTAAAGTGGATACCATGCATCAAGGTAAAATAATACGCGAAAGAGTTGTCTGCTTTTTCTTTGGGTTCGAGTTTATTAGGTATATTTAATTGGTTGAAATCCCTTTTCAAATCAAGTTAGTAGAACATCTCTATTAAGACATTTAGTTAAGTGACATGGGAGGTTTTGGAAGTAGGTAACGCTCAAAAAAACCTTGAAAGGATGCATAAAAAATACAGAAAAATAAATAGTCGTGTAAGTCCCAGTTATGGAAATGTTCAACAATTTCCAGATTAGTCATGTGTTCAATAATTTCTGTTTCTTTGGTCCCACACTTACGAGGTAGTATGTACATGTCAAGACGTTCCTAGATTCCAGGAGTTTTTTTTATATACCTGTATAAATATTTTTATATCTTCTGAGAAAGCTTTTATATACATATATTATGTCTTTCAATGTACTTCAGGATTTCAGGGATAAACACTGAAACTATTTTGAACTATTTTTCTATATGGGAATCTAATAAGGGTACTTTAATTGTCTTGTATTTACACTGTTGAAGCTAGTATTGAGTACCCACATAGCATAGCAACTTAGATAAGGCACATATATATATTAAAATACTAGAAAATACCAATTTCCCAATAAACCCCATTAAAATTCAAATAATTAAAATGATATATTATGATCAATATCTGATGAAAGCGTAAATAATTCAATGCTTTTAGCGCCAATTTAAATATAAAGAGAAAAAAAAAATAGCACGTTGCTAACATTTGAATACATACTAACTTAGAAGGTCAGCCAAGAATAAATAAATTGTCTATAACGTACATATTTTCCATATAGGAATTATTTATTGCAAATCCGATACATAATGGGCGAGTTGCGCAAAGTATGCCCGCGGAACATAATCGCTTGGCGCCTTGTATTATCTGTAACAATTATAAAATGCTATGGGTGTTGCTCAAGCAAGCAAATGCGGATTTGCTATTATGTGTGGAAAAAATTGTAAGATTTTTTTATATGGGAAGATTGATTAGGGAAATAAATAGTTGGTTTGTGGTATTTCGTTGGTGCCCCATTTGGTTGGGCAATATTTCTGAACGACCGCATTAGATTGTGGT